GAGTGTCCACGATTAGACCAATTGTGTACAGACGACAATTTACCTTTCTGTATTTTTCATACGGATTTAAATCCTAAAGAATGTACATTTTACAAAGTTTTCACCTAACGAAAATGGTTAATTAATAACTCATAAGGTTTTAATATTTTTATAAATATAAGAACATATATTAAGTGTTCTTGGATGTATGTTTATTTAAAAATATAATATTCCGGGAAAAATTAAAAATTTGTTTTTATTTAATATCATATATGTGTTCACCTAACCTAACCTAACCTAACCTTCTAAAGCATCATATTAACAAAGTGTGTGTGTGTATGTAGGTAGATGAGGATCGTGTTATTGTCGACCGTTGAACCAGTAGGTCGATGATACAAACGGAAATAACAATTATATTGTCGTTGACAAAAATCTATGTACAGGAAATCGCTCGACGATTATGTGATATTTATTATTTTATTGTATAAATAATATTTGTTCGAAACGGAGGGNNTATATTAAGTGTTCTTGGATGTATGTTTATTTAAAAATATAATATTCCGGGAAAATTAAAAATTTGTTTTTATTTCATATCATATATGTGTTCACAAATTTCTAAAGCATCATATTAACAAAGTGTGTGTGTGTATGTAGGTAGATGAGGATCGTGTTATTGTCGACCGTTGAACCAGTAGGCCGATGATACAAACGGAAATAACAATTATATTGTCGTTGACAAAAATCTATGTACAGGAAATCGCTCGACGATTATATGATATTTATTAATTTATTGTATAGATAATATTTGTTCGAAACGGAGGGTAGGTGGGCGGGGGAGAGGTTAAAGCTCTCGGACTGATAGGTTCGTCGTCACCGATAGTTATATTTTGTAAAATCTTTCGTCTTAACATCTGCAACCGATAGCAGTCAAAGGGTATGCGGGGTAACGCGAACGCACGGGCGATCGTAGAATAGTAAAACGTAAAACCATCACCTTTATACCTTACCTGCACGTGCGCACGAAAACGGTGACACCACTGATTATATTTCATTGCTATTAAAAATACTTATAACCTCTCCCCCGTCCACCTAATTATATAATAATAACTATGCTGTATGCGTGATCAATGTGCCGTACGAAATATCGATACATAGTATTGAAAACGATGATATAATATTAATAATTTTACATATAGGTACTCTAATAGGTATGTATATAGGAGTAATAGGAGTATAGGTACTCTATAGGTATCTAATAATTATGTTACCGATGTGTCCTACGATGAATCGTGTTAAATTTAAATAGTATTAAAACTGTAATACATTATATTGTTATCGAAGCCCGTGTTTTATTCGCTTAAAAATTCGGTGTTGGTACTCATATCATCAACGAAAATATTATTCCCGGGGGTAATCGTGACAGACTCTCCTCGTGGCCCGGGAAAACCGCCGTCAGCTCCTCTCCGGTCTACGTAGTGAAAATTGCTTCTTGGAAGAACGTCGGCCGGTCACCGCCAAACATTCAGCCGAGGAGATCCAAACGAGCCCGTCAAAGAATTGTTGTAAGTTTAAAAGATCGTAGGGAAATTTTTTTTTTCAAATTTTTCGTTAGGCATGTTCTTAAAGACTTAAACGGTATAATCACACGGATTATTAAACGTACGTTAAGACCGGCGATGATTTCCGTTCGGGACATCCCATCGGGTCGTCTTGTTTTTGTAAGTACGCCTCGCGCATTGCTTTTGCGACGGATGCCGTCTCGATGCGTCTGCCGAATCGCTTAGTTTTTGACTACCGTACGCTGCAATAACCGTTTCCACGGGCGCCGTACGCGAATCCGGCGACCAGCGCGGTGTACCAAACCAGACGAATCCACGGCGACGCGTTTACCGGCCGTTTGAATTTTATCACCATATTTGTAAGAGTTTGACAAGGCGTAGGAAAATGCAAATAATCAATTTCAGTGCCATAATCGTTCGCGTTTTGTCGTAATGAATCACATATAATACCTGGACTGTATGCAATAATATTATTATAGGCGCAGTTGCCCGTGCGGTAAATCAACGTAACTAATACAATAGGCATTTTGCGCCTTTTTTCGTCCACCGGTAAAATATTTAATTAAGTGAAATAAACAAACTTTTTGAACAAGTTGCTATTTTTTTAGTCATTTAACCTTAAAGTAACAAAATAGTTTCGATTGTTAACAATGATTTTTTGAGTGATAATAACGGCGGCCTGGTCGGGTATAAATATTGTTATCAAATCAACCTCCTTCATAGATACATTTTATATTCATGGTCTTTCTACAGTTTAATATAAAACTAACGTGCAATTAATATATATTATCTATGGTTTAATATTATTATTATAAAATTATGTGACTTAACGGCCAGATTTGACTTGCGTAAATGAATATCACGATCTATAATAAAAACTGATAACAGGATAACAATATTTATACCCCATTAAAGCCACCGCTATTATCACATTAAACGAATCCGAAAATCGGTTTAAACAATCGACTAATTATAAAATTTAATAAATCATTATTTTAAGTATATAGAAAAAAAATAATTTTACAACACAACTATATGGGTTATTGTCTATAGATTTGAATTAGTTTCCAAGGGAAAAAAATTGATCGTAAAGTCCCTATTAATGGATAATAATCCATTAACTTGAAATTTAATTTCGAATATTTAATAACCAGTGTCTATTATTATAGGCTTTGAGGAGTTCACAATAATATTGGGTTTTGTATTCTACTATGAGCTGTAAAAAAAAAAAAATATAAAAAAAATATTTGATATTGGTAATTTAGGTAGACTGTACATGTAATGGGTATTTAGATACAGTAGGTATATAGGGTATATAGNTTGAATAATCAAGAAAAGTACCTATAATTTATTGAGTGGCAGGCTGCAATCGCATTCACTAATTGATTATTATTATTGTTGTTAATATGGCTAATATAATTATTTTATCAATAACCACGAATTTAATCAAAATAAAATGTTATTACGTCAAAATGTTCAGAAGAATAAAAACTCTATAAAATGATTATTTACAATTTCAAAATTTGTTCAAACCTAATAAAATAAACTTATTAAAAAAAAAAAAAAAAAAAAACAATGTAAAAATACAATTTGACTATCTATTTATTATTTTCGGAGATATTAAAACGGTATATCTTCGTGGGACATCTTGAATTTACATATAGTTACATTTGCCAAGGTGTTCGTTATTTTCAATCGAGTTTTCACAATTATAAGTAAAGTACAAAAGAGACGGAAATACTTCGCACGTGGGTAGGACAATGTTGTAGTTGAAAAGTTTGGTAGGTAGATAGGAAATTGAAAGTAAATCTGTACGCAACGATTAGCCATTGTTAATCAAAATTGATTCTGAGTGGAGTTCGGTTAATAGTGTTGCTTTGTCAACAATGGTTAAATAATTTCATATGTATTATATGTTTTCTTTAATATTGTGCCTTTTTCCCCCGGCTTTTCCTATTTGTTGGGAAAACTCTTGGAAAATCAAAAAATGATCTCCCTAAAGTACCACTCCAGTCAATTTCCTTTCAGAAAAAGTGCTGTCATTGAAAATCGAAGCAAAACTGCTGGTAAAAAAGTTGTTCATAGTTAAAAAAATAAAAATAAAAATCTTTGTAAAACCAATAAATTTCTCGCTTCACTCATAATCAAAAATTATCACAAAAATACGGTAACCAGTCACAATACCTACTAGAGTTGTGTTGAGAACTCTTTGATTAAAGGATATTTGTTAACAGTGTACACAGACACACAAAATCTATATATCATTGTAAAACTAACGCATTTCCGAATATATATCTCAGAAATCAGAATCTAAAACAGCTTTATTAAATAACGAACTGCGTGTGGCGTTTGCCACAAGCATGTCCTCACATATTAAATATATATATATATATATATATATTATTATACTATTATAGTCTATATGATTTACCACCTACTATAATTTAGTGTTTTTTTTTTCAATTTACGCGGGGAATAAATATGAAACATACGTGGATACATATTCCTGAAATCTAAAATATATTTATTATTTATTGAAATTATAGTGTCGGTAATTTTATTATTTAATACTCAATTTAGTATGCATCGCTATCAAACGGGCCACCGAGGTTATCAAGTTTCCTTAGACCGTAGCTTCTAAGATTATGCAAGTGGTGTTACTACATTGAATTTGGTATATTCCGTGAATATTATGTAATTTGTAATAATTTAAATTAAATGTATACATTTTAGAATAACATTGAATTACACTAATATAAATTAAATATCATTGAGTAGTAAGCATATATTAAAATAATGTTAAAAATATACACAATAAATACGCGAACGTTTATTTTTACAGAAATATAATCAGTCAGATGGAGACATTGAACGATGAAGAAGTTGTATTGAATTTGAAGTTACTTAAAGCAATCCATTTGTATCACATACTCGATCCCAGCACCATAAAGATATACAATTGTAACGTTTACTTGGTACCTATATTTATTTTAACTGCAGTTACACAACTCGGGACAATTTTCGGAATGGTAGGCTTATTTGCCGATGGAGTCTATTTGGTTTAGTTAAGTTAATAACTTTATAGTTGTGTTCATTATAATACATTATTATCTCGTCGCGTTCATGGTGTTCAGTATTATAAAGAAAAGGGAAATGATCTGGGATTTGTTCCCCGTTACAAAATTTAATTTTTTGACGAGTAAAATGTGTGTTCAAAACATTAAAACACTGTACACATACCGCACAAAAACTGTACAAATTACTAATATCTACGCAGGTTTAGTCATCATTGTGTGCGTTCAGTGGATACTCAGTCCATTGGTGCTCAATTCATTTAGGAGAAACGAAAACGCTCATAATTTACGCATGGAAAATATTTTAAATTTTCCGTATCCCATAAAATCACAAACATACAATCAGTACTATGTTTTTTTTTACATAATAGAAGTATTAATATCATATATGATTATCCATAATGTGATAATTGTCGATGGTATTTTAATTTCTTTTTATTACGCTTTAATCGGTCAATACAAAGTAATTGTTCAGTCATTTCAAATTGTTGGATTAGAAGAAAAAGCTCCAATAGGTAAGATATTTTTATACGTTTTTCTATAAATATAAAAGTGACTAGTTAGTAGTTAAATAAAACGAGTACCTAGGGGTAAAAAATAAAGTTGATAAATAAATAATCTAATAATATATAATTCTGCGATTTAAAACTGCGGGTATAAATGGGGGAGACCAGAGTTATAGTTTTGTACTGGGGCAAATGATTTTTAAAAATCTTACGATTTCATGTGATTAGGTATACGATTTTCTCTCGTGTTTATATCATAGACAAAAATGATTGCATGCAGCGTAATTAGAAATCCAGAACGACTCAATGCGCCGCGTCGTCTCTGTACCGTGTTATCATTGGTTTTATACGCAGTGTATACGTGTGCGTGAAAAATTTCATTTTAAATCGGTATCTTATATCATTAATAACTTGTATTCGTTGGTTGTGTCTCAGTGTGTTAACGCAAAGACGCACCGCTCATACAGTCTATGGATGGGGTGTCTGGTTCAAATCCGACAATTATTAAACAAATATTTTACATTTTATCCCCCTGTGACCCTATGCGGTTTTGCATAATAAATAAGAGTTTATTTTCGATTAAATTCTGATATGAGCTCGTGAGGCCCATTTTATTACTAATATAATAACACGGTATAATTTAATTTTTAGGCAGGCTATACGAAATCGGCCAATTAGAAACATAAATCCGTAGCAATTTGTAATGGATCAATGAAAACGTGTAATAGAAAAGGTGCTCTGTGGTACCTTGGGGGGTGATCGGCATATTGAACGTAGGTGGCTGAGTTGTAATATAATTTATAGTTGATATTGTATTGCTATTATACTAATGCGTGATAAGTAGATTCAGCAGAATGGGCTTCAAATCATTTTTCCAGTAATATTCATGATATCATATACATCTATGTGATTCCATTATCAATTAATTCGTTATTTTTATAATTTATTTATCAGTGTTGGTAATGGTTTACTAATTTCTCCGCGGCTTTGGATTAGTCATTTTTACTCTAAAATACATTTCAATTTCATGATTTTATTATTTTATTTGGGAAGGCAATAGAAGGGAAATTTAATGTAAATCTTTACGCAACGATTATCCATTACTAACAAAAAACGATTCTGAGCGGAGTTCGGTTTATAGTGTTGCTTAGTAAACAATAGATGTCATATTGTGGTAAAGAAATTGCACTTGAATCATGTATTTTCGCTTATAATATTTGATTAATATTGTACCTATTTTCCCATTTTTCTACATTTTTCCCAGTTTTCTCATACTTTTTCTAGGGTTTTCCCAGATACTATGAAAAACGCTTGGAAAATCAAAAAATGACCTCCCTAATGTACCATCAAAACAATATTTCAGTATTACACGTATATGATACGTACATATTGTAGCAAGATTTCTGATAAAATTTTTGTATACAGTATAAAAATATAAAAAAGAAACATCTTTGTAGAATTATTAGAGCTTCACTTTAGTGAACTGTTTGGTGTTGACCTTTAAAACAACAAAACTCAGCGAGGTAAAAATCAAATGTAGAAAGTTAAATGGAAAACTAACTCCAGTCTCTCTATTATGTTACCGTTTACTATACTATACACATAATAATTAATTATATACACTATAATTAATATTACAATTCTTTATTTTTTTTACAGAATATTATTCAGATTTAAAATCAATTTTGGTTGATTTACAGAAACTTAATTGGTAAGTATTTTATATATTTTGTTTTTTTTTTTTTTTTTTAATGGTAATTTTTAAACATTCATATATCTACTAATCAATCGAGTTATAATTCAATAATTTTTCTTTTTTTTAGGAATCTAAAATTATTTTATTCGGTTGTGCGGCCAATCATTTTAACTAATGTTGCTATTAATTTTATTCTGATTGTGATGATTACATATTCACTCATTTCGGTAAAATTTAAATTAAAATTACGTTCAAATTGTATTAATAATAGATGATACTGATATAAACAATAATACACGTCACTTACATAGTACAAAGAAATTAAACTATATTTTAGATTCTGAGTGAAGGGAGGAAGCTTATAGTTCTACAAAGATGTTTATTTTTTTTTTTATCTGTGAACAAATTTTCTACCAAACTTGCTCAGATTTTTACGAATAGCACCTTTTCTGAAAGGAAATCGGTGTAGGGAGGTACTTTAGGGAGGTCTTTTTTTATTTTCCCAGGATTTTTCCCAATAAATAAGAAAAACTGAAAAACAAAAACGGGAATATACGAGGTCTAATCAAAAATTATCGAGACTGATAAGATAAATCGTAAACCGGTTTGAGTATGAACTTGCACGTGCTATATTAATCAAACTTTGTATGTTGGGAAAATATATTAGGCATAGATTAGATTAAAATTGTCTCAGTCGGCTTCTAGGTGCGATTAAGTAAAGTGTGTTTTTATGTCCTGTCGGATTTCATTATGAGCGAAAATATTGAACAACGAGTGTGCATTAAATTTTGCTATAAACTGGGATAAACGACTACTGAAACCTACCAAATATTATTGTTAGCTTATGGAGATGAAACCATATTCCGTACTCGCGTTTTTGAATGGTTCAAATGATTTAAAGAGGGTAGAACAACTGTTGAAAGTGATAAACGTGAAGGACGCCCGTCAACAAGCCGCAATGAGGAAATGGTTCAAAAAATACGAACAGCAATACGAGGTAACCGTCGTTTGACAATTATGGAACTTAGTAATGAGTTTCAAATCTCATTCGGATCAGTTCAAACCATATTGACGACTGATTTAGATATGAGAAGAGTTGCTGCCAAATTTGTTCCAAAACTGCTCTCAGATGAGCAAAAAGAAAACCGAAAACAGATCGCCACTGATTTGCTAGAGTGTTCTGAATCTGATGAATTTTTTTTAAAATCAATTATAACTGGTGACGAGACTTGGGTATATGGCTACGATCCAGAAACAAAGGTACAATATTCGCAGTGGAAGACACCTGATTCACCACGACCCAAAAAAGCTCGTCAAGTTCGGAGTCAAGTGAAGGTTATGTTGACTGTTTTTTCGACTACCAAGGTGTTGTTCATCATGAGTATGCTCCAAAAGGACAGACCATAACAAAGGAGTACTACATTAATGTTCTTCGCCGTTTACGAGATGCTGTACGAAGATAAGGACCTGAGTTTAAAGAGTCTGGTAGTTGGAAATTGCATCACGATAATNTTTCTCAACCCCCCTATTCACCAGACCTTGCTCCATGTGATTTTTTTTTATTCCCAAAGATAAAAATAGTACTTAAGGGTAAACGTTTTCAAGATGTAGATGAAATAAAACAAAATGCGACGGAGCAGCTGCGAGGAGTTTCTAAAAATGACTTCCAGAGGTATTTTCAAAAATGGCAGGAACGTTGGAGAACAATGTATAGACTCAGAAGGAGCATATTTTGAAGGAGATTGAATGTAAATATCTTTATCTAATAAATATGTATATTTTTTATTAACAGTCTCGATACTTTTTGATAAGACCTCGTATACGAAATATATAACTAACATTTATGATTTTTTTTTCGTGTGCATAACATTTCTACCAGCAATTTTTCTCCAACTTATAATGATAGTACTATTTTTAAAATGAAACTTCACGAGGGAGGTAATTTTAAAGGGGTAATTTTTCAATTTTCTCAGGAGTTTTATCATTAATTTCATCTCAATTTGATTCTAATAAAATTTTAAAAACCGAAGAAAACAGAAGAAAAAGGGGAAAACGTAGGAAAACTGAGAAAATCGGTACAATATTTATACAAATATTTTTTAAGAAAATATATAGCCTATTTAATTATTTTACTATAAAATGACATATATTGTTAACAAAGCATCATAATTAACTGAACTCCGCTCAGAATAGTTTTTTCGTAAGCAATGGTTTATCGTTGCTTACAAATATATATTAAACTGTTATATTATCTATAACAGTGGCTGCATCTGTCTCATATCCTAGGACGTCTTTTTATTTATTTAATCTATAGTTCGTTAACTGTTTTTAAAAGGTTTGCTTGGCAATGAAATCGTTTTCTATTTTCGATGTAGCGAAGTTGTTGACTACGGTTTTATATGAATATTCTCATGCTTTTGTTCTCTGTTTTATATTTGAAAATATATACAACGAGGTAAAAATAATTGTAAACCGTTTTTAATTTGTTTTTAAACATTATTTACTGTACTCAGGTAAATTCTGTCAACTATGCAATATATTCTTGTAATTGGACAAAAATGAATTTAAAATTCAAAAAGTTATTATTGTTTGCGATGCGGATGAATGCTACTAATAAACCAGTGATTAAATTTTCATTAACAAAAGTTGTCAACTTACAATTATTTGCTAGTGTATTTATTTTATTTATTATTAAAATTATTTACATACGCTTATCAAACAATTTGATTTCAGGTTGTCATGACATCTTATAACATTGTCTCTGTTTTGGTAAATACAATAAATAATAAGGATGTGTTGTAGTCAGACTTAATGGCAGGGGCGGAAGTGCAAATCAAATGAAGATCAAGGGATTGAAATTCTAGGTCACTCAATAAAATATATACATTTTGTTTCAAAATTGTATACTAGATTATATAAGTTGTTTTTAAAAAAAATTTCAAAAATACCAAAATTCCTTACGTAAAAATTTCGTAGTTAAGATGTTTTTTTATAAGTTTAAGAATTTCAAATGTATTGTATGATTAAAAATAAAAATAATATAGTGTATAAATTAGGAAATAAGGTGTGCTTAGTCAGTAAAATAATATTCAATACTACCTATGACATTTCCTTTGTAAGATCTTTTAAAACATGTATAACTACCGAATTTCGTTTCGAAACGTTTTTCACTAGCAATGGTTTATCTTTGCTTATTGATATAAATTAAATAATTGTATGTATCCTACCTTCCAAACTTCCAATTGCAACAGTATCACATCCGTCTTCAATTTCATCTTTTTTTTTAGATTTGTAGCAGAACGAGAGATCTACTGGATTTACTGTTTGTTAGTTTTTTTTTTCTGTCTGTAAACAGTTTTTCGAAAAGAAAACTTGCTCTGATGTATCAAGTGTATCACATTTTTTGACTGTAAATTTTATCTTATTGGTAAAAAAGAAAGGCCATGTTTTGATTTTCAAAATAATTGGAATAAACCGGAAACAAAATCATAGCTAAAACGGCCAATATTTACGGCGCATCGCCGTATTGTTTTAATTATTGCAAACTATGTTTTCTACTAAAAAAATATTGCTTTTATCAAAAAATGCTTCGAGATTTATTTTGTAGCATTTTGGATCTAGCTACTCACAAAGATAGCATTTTTAAATTTTCTAAGTAGTTTTAATAATAATTGTTAGAACCTAAAGCAAAAAATGTAAGAAGAACAGGAAAATTTACAAATTTTTTTTGTAAATCAGTTCATAAATATTCGTAGAGAATTGAAATTATAACGAAAACTTATGTGTATTTTTTTAGATGTGGTTACATTTTTAAAACATATGAACCATTTTTGAGATATTTATAAACATTTTAATTTTGGGAGTTTTTTTACGTAATTTGTATTTAGTATATGTACTCTAAAGATAAAATTGTTAGACCAAACAGAATTGCTTAAAAATTGAACAGAAGGGTCATTATACATTTTTTTTTAGTGATAAGAATTTGAGATTAATGTAATAGGTATTTTTTATTTTTATAAGAGTTTTGACGAAAATTGTAAACATTATGGCTTTTCAAAACATGTATAACCAAAATTCGCTTTGAATGTTTTTTTTGATACCTTCTCAACTTCTCACCTATAATATGGACGAGCGTTTTCAATTTTATTTTATCTCACCACTACCACATCGCTTATCTGCCGGTCTACTATTGTTGCTACCGATTTTTATGTATACTATTGATTTATTTTATATTTGAAAAAATGAATATAAGAAGTATCCTCAGGGGGACAGTCAGTGTTACGGGTTTAGCGAACCCGGGGCCTCGAGCTAAGGCGTAAGGAAAGTAGTGCTCCCATCGCCCAATACACAGCGAAGTGTATTTCACTAGCCCCACGCTGATTTTAAGTGGTTGGTGTGGAATGGTCCTACAGTTTTGGGGGTTGAGCGTCTGGCTAAGAACCCGAGTTCGTAAAAAGTAATCAGTTAAGAAACCATCAAAAAAGCCTCGGAATTGCATTGAAAATGGCAAACACTTGGAATCGAAAAATGGGCTACGTATAGGGACATGGAACGGTTTAGAGAAAACTAAGTACATGGTAATTTCGATAAAACCGCCAAATGTAGGTTCCATAGAAGTTAATAATTCTAAATTTGGAAAAGTTGATCATTTCAAGTACTTAGACGTGAACATCAACGACAAAAATGATATGCATATAGAAATAAACGAACGGATCACTTGTGGAAATAGATTTTATTTTATTATTATCAAACTCCTGAGATCTAAGCTGCTATCCAGGTGTTAATCGAAAATACTACTATACCATAGTTAACGTCAACCTGTGAAACCTGGTCATTGACTAAAGGTGATAGCAGAAGACTTATCATGTCCGAAAGAAAAGTGTTACGAGCCATATATGGACCAATTTTTAATCCAGGAATACAGGCATACGAAAGAAGAAGAAACGAAAATGTAAAGATTCTAATAAACCGAACATACTCTCTTTTATTAAGAAAAAACGATTAGAATGGTTCGGGCATGCACGGAGAGCAGATGGCCAGTTAATTAAAAATGTGCTAATCAATAAGCTTCATCAGTTCACCTTCGACATCGACGGTTGACTTTTGTGTAGGTAAATTAAAATTAAGTTTTATAAATAATAAAATAATGTTATGTTACTCATGCAACGATGACATCTTTGAGGATGATGCTATAACCTGTACTATATGCAATGAATACTATCACTTTATGTGTGTAGCGCTGAAAGAAACGACTTTTCGAAAAATGTCCAAAGCAACCAAATCTAAGTGGGCTTGTAGTAAATGCAAGTTCAATGATAAAACTCAACCACCAATCAACGTAACACAGCAAATAAATCCAGTTTTCAATATCACAAACGATGATTTTAATAATCTAACTGAAACGGTAAAATTTATGAGTGCCAAGTTTGACAGCTTTGGTACACAATTACAAGAATTACTATCTTCAGTGAAGCAAATGAGAGAAGAAAACCAACTTTTAAAAGAGCAAAATAATAAGAATAACAATGAAATTTTACTATTGGTGAACCGTGTTAATACGTTGGAACAAAAAGCTTTAGAAAATTGTATTGAAATTGTTGGTGTACCGGAGATCAAGGACGAAAACAGTGTTGATACAGCAAAAATAACCATATCAAAATTGGGAGTGGAAACAACAGTTAAAAATGCATTTCGTGTTTCATCAAAAGTCATAAATAAACCCAGGAAACTTGTAGCTGAGTTGAGCAGTCGCCAATGCAGCATCAATATCATAATCAACTTTAAAAAGGTAAAACCGAGAGGAAACACGTTTCACGAAAAATGGGGAATGGAAGCAATTTATATAAATAATTATCTTTCTGTATTTAATAGAAACTTGCTCTTGAAAACTAAGGCTTTTGCTCGAGAGGCCGGTTTTAAATTTGTTTGGATAAAAGACTCAAAAGTATTTATTAAAAAAAATGAAGATCAAAAAGCGATTCTAATCGAAAATGAAACTTCTTTACACAAATTAAAGTAAAAATTAAAAGTAATATCTTCGATTGTATATAAATTTTTTTAATTTTATTCATGGATAAGTTTAATAATGTTATTGAAAGTCACAAATATAGAACTAATTATTTTGAGTCTTTTTCTGAATATGACTATTATGTAAAAAACAAAGATGAATTTCTTTTAAATATTATTTGTCTAAACATAAGAAGTGTTAATTCACACTTTGACGAATTACTTTTATTTTTAGAAAATGATGTAAATAGTAAAAAAATTGATGTAATCGTTTTAACAGAGACGTGGCATGACTCACGTTATTGCCACTATATAATACCTGGTTACAATATAATGCTTTCTGATACCAAAAGAAACCAAAACGATGGTATAATAATTTTTGTCAAAAATCATCTAAACGCTGATTTTTATGACTATGACTTTTTAGAGTATAATATTGTAAAATTATCAATGAAAATAAACAATTTGCAAATAACTGTTATATGTATATATAGGTCACCCTCATCTGTATAGGTTTCATAAATTCCTTAAAATGTGTTTTTAATAATCTGAATTTAAATTCTGGCATAATTACCTTAATTAGGGACATGAATATAAATATAATTGGTGCACAAACAGTTTATAATAATGATTATCTAGACCTCTTATCGAAGAGCGGTTTTTGCTCTTTCATAAATATATATACTCGATTACCCGTGGGTCAACGACATTCGTGTTTAGATCACGTTTTCATTAAAGATAATATTATGTCACCCGTGAATATTAATGCAGGTGTTCTCTTAACTGATATAACTGATCATTGTTCAATTGTAGTAACAATCCCTATACCGGTTAAAGTTATAAATACTATTAATACTATCAATGTAATAAACTATGATAAACTTAAGCAAATTGTGTATAAAGAAAAATGGACTAAGGTATATGAATCTAACTCTGTAAATGTATGTACAACTAATTTTCAAAATATAATCATGAAGGCCATGGACAAATCCATGACAGTAAAGAATATAAACTCTAAAAACAAGAGATTGAAAGAATGGATGTCCAAAGGTCTTTTATGTTCAGTATGTTACAAACAATACCTGTCAATGAAGTGCAAAAAGAACCCAAACAATGTCAATCTTACGTCATACTATATAAAATATAAAAATACTTTCACTTAACTTTTGAGGCTCGCTAAAATTAAATTCTACGAGGAAAAATTTAAAAAAGTGTCTTATAATCCGAAATTAACATGGAAATTGGTCAATGAGATTACTGGTGGCAATTTAATAAACACTGATAAAATCAAAACTATAATAGTGAACGATAATATATT